AAGTGGTTTGTGGTCTGTCTCCACGGTTACCGTCTTCCCGTAGATGTATTGATGGAAGCGTTTGCATCCAAAGACTATAGCAAACAGTTCTTTCTCGATCTGTGCATAGTTTTGTTGAGTCTCATTCAGCGCTTTTGAGGCATAGGCGACACTTGGGCTGGTGTGACTCCATTGATTGGATGCTCTGCAAATGTTGAGTGCCTTGTCTAAGCTCAGGTCTGCTTCGCGTAATAAGCGTTCCCTCAGGGATTGATCAGATATGCCGCACACAATCCGGTCGCGTATGAGTCCRTCTTTGAGATCTTTGAACTCACACAGTGAAGCAAGAGTCCTCAATACTGTCACGTATTGATCAATTGTCTCCCCTTGTTCTTGGTTTCTCGTGTTGAATTTGTGTCTTTCAAAAGTGATGTTCTTTCTCGGGTTACAGTAAGTCTTGAACGCCGTCTTGATATCCGCTGTAGTCCTGTTCCAAACTGTCTCGCCTTTGTCATCAGTCGTCGTTTCGTCAGGAAGGTCCAGTGTCTTGTACACTTCTCGACCCTTCTCGCCAATGCAGAGCAGAAAATACGAGCATCGCTCCTCTTCGGATTTTCCTTTAAGTTCTGTTTTCTCGAATAGATTCCAGTGTTCTTCGAACTTTCRATAGTTCTCGCTGACGTTGCCTTCAAAAGACATTTCTCTGGGCGCTGCCCATTGTAGACTCGATGCCATTCTAACTGATACGAGTAATGGTTCGCTCATATCCCACTTCTGACACCATGTTGTAGTCGCTCAGATCGTGTAGAATCAAGATGTTTATTTCAAGCCACTGTTATAACTACTCAAGTACAATAAGTAGTGTCTATGATTATATAATGATAACATTGGGATCATATAACATTACGTCATATATTACAGTACTCTTGCCAGTTTAGGTTAGGGATGTGCCGCTGAGCCCACTGAACCCTGACCCTGTTCCAGAGTAAAATTGCTGAAATTGATACCCTGTTCCAGAGCAAGATTGCTGAAAATCATAACTGATTCTGGTATCGGAAAATGATACCCTGTTCCAGAGAGGAGAGAGCGTGATTTCATATACCCTGTTCCAGAGCAAGCGAGATTTTATATACCCTGTTCCAGAGTAGAATCGCTGAAAACCATACCCTGTTTGGCGGCACATACTTGTATAACGAATATGGGGGAGAGCCCCCAGGCTACATACAGAGCTAGCATTTTCATGAAAATTGCAGTAAGCAATAGAAATTTTAATATAGGTATTTTTAGATACAAAATTAGGCCACCAATTTTTTGTCATTACTTTTTGAAATAAATTTAGTAAATAAAGATGAATTATTCAACATTTTATTGCCAAGTAAATTCTTACCCTTAAGACACATGTAAGGTCTGATCTTTTGCAGAAGACTATAGACAATGATCATAGATCTTCAATTTCTTTTGGGGGAAAAAGTACATAACTCATTCAGAGCCTCACTTAACAACTCATGTTTATTTTCCAAAAGCCACAAATGTATTCCATTGTATTAAGAACTAATAATCATGCAAAGTTGGGGGCCTATAAATCATATTTTTTATTATACATTTTACTAAGTATCTTAATTCTGATTGTTCAAGAGCCCTCAGCCAATCCCTGATATCATGTGAACTCAACATGATAATGTATTACATGTATCTGTAGGTTTTCCTACAGATAATACATTTATCATGTCCAGTTCATTCAAGGTCATGTTGTATCTTTGCCAAGGGCATTGAGATCCATCAAGATGGCATTCTCACGCTTTCTTCGCTTTCCGAAGAAGAAATAAAAAATCTCTTACTATAGGAGAAAGATTAAAAAAATACGAAAAGGTCAACAAAAGGAAGCTATAAAGTCTTCAGCGAATACCTAAAGGAGAAAAAACTTTTTTATTAACATCATGGCATTCATAATTCTTGTCTCTATAATTTAATGTTCATGCTAATGTTTTTCCAGTATACGAAATGAATAATAAAGCAATTATTGAATTCGGTATCGCATAATATCGTAAATTATCAAGACTGAGGGTGTGTGTGTCAGCTTTGGCAGATAACACAGCCTTGGTCTTGATAATTTACAATATCACGCTCAACCTCATCCAATAATTGCTTAATATTGCTGCAAAAACATTGTGAAAGTAATAACATATAATTGTAATTACTGGTATGGTACATGTAGGTTCCACATTATGCATTGTAGCATTCAAATTTCAAAAAATAAACTGAAGGTGTTTGGCAGGCAAAACAGTTTTATTTATTCATCTTTTTCTATTTTTAATTGTTTTAAAAACCTGTCACCATCTCATATTATGAAAGAGTCTGAAACTATTGTTAGGTACCCTTAAAATACATGTAAATGCAACCACTCTGACCTAAGTTAATATAAAAGGCTCAATTTTTTTACCCTCGGTGATGTATTTTTTGTTGAGATCACCGAGGGTAAAAAGAATTGGGTTTGTAAAGCAGTCTCACTGATTTGAAGAAGTAATGTAAAGGTCAAAAAAGAAACATTCTTATTGATGACCAAACATCAATTTTAATAACCCCTTGTCTCTCAGTCACAACACAATTATCTTTTACGGTAGTAATTAATGTGTGCAAGGCAAGAGTGGACTCAACCATTTTATAGGAAAATTTATTGAAAGTGCCTATCAGTCCTACAGGATCTCTTCCTGATTTCAAAGCCTTTATCAAATAAGTAAGAATGGCCTTTACTTTCTTTTTGATATTTTTTTCCTTGCCGAGATATTAAATACAATAATCACAAAATGAGATATTATTCTCTATTTGATGATTTGACTTTTTACAAACATCCTGGGTTGACATCATCATTTTGTAATTTTTGTATTGAATGTCTCAGCAAGGAAAAGAAATATCAAAAAGAAAATAAAGGCCATTCTTATTTACAGTATTTCATAAGGGCTTCGTGGAAGAGATCCTGTAGGCTTGATAGACACTTAATCTAACTAGACAATTCACACAAGACACTTTTCATTCTAAAGAAAATCTTGCAAAAGCAGACTTCCTATACACACTGAATACAATTGTTTTGTATCTGTGAATAAATATGAAATAATACAACTATGTCTTTAAAAGTTGATTTTTAGGCTGCCATTCTTTCTGACATGATTATTTCATCCACTCAAACAGTACAAGATGACCAATAAAAATAATTCAATGAAGTATGTACACTTTCATAAACAATTGCATTGGCACTATAATACACTATAAAAATGGCAACAATTATTAACTAATATCATGATAAATCCCATAAAACTACAATTATAATGTATAAATACTTCTGTAGTACAAACGCTAAGGATTACAGACATCGAGAACTAGCTAGCTTGCTATGAAATGTTTTCTCATTCTCAAAATTAAATGAGATCACATTCAGTCTTTGTTTCCAAATCATTGATGGAAAGAGACTTCTTGCAGGGCAGACAACAGCCCTGTTACATCATTAAATAAATTTTGTCATTCCACTCTATTAATATTGTGTAGTCCTAAAAATTATCCATACCCCCCCTCCCCCACGGAGAAATTTTTTAAATACACCCCCCCCCCTACCCCAGGAAATTCAAATTTTCTTGCATACAAACTCTGTAATTTTTGTTCTTTCTCTGACCCCTCCCCCCCCCCACCCTTCGGAAATTCCAAATTCCTGTGGCGGGTATGGATAATTTCTGGAAAGTCTACACATTTGACATATAAACTTGGTCTACAGTATATTCTATTCTAAAAATAACCATCATGAATGATGCACATGGTTCAGTGAGTGTTATTTCTAAACACATAACATTACATCATTATTCATGCACATATTTTTTACTGAACGGTTAGAAAAGAAGTGCACCTGAACTACTTGAACTGGTAAATGCTTCTCCTCGGTCTAAATAAGTGATAGTAGGTGCATTACTTTCATCCTTTAACTCCTTATTGTCTGATGACTTGAACACTTTATTCTTATTGATAGTTACAGTCTTGTTTTCCAATTGTTTGTCCTCRAGACCTTGCAGAGAAGGAGGTTTGTATTGGTCTATAGTTTTGCCATCATTTTCTTTCATGTATTCATCAAAGTGATACTGCATACATACTTCAGATGGATAATCATGGACCTTTTCCAGGCTGTTAGCATGAAACACCACTTTAGCAGCTTTTCTCTGTGAAGTTCAAAGAAAAAATGATAATTTATATTATTTGATTTGAATAAAGTTCAAAAAAGCATTATACAATAGCACATGGCTAGCCTGAAAAGCCTTAGTCACTCTGTCAGGCTTTTCTTCTCCATTTGGTAATAAAGCAATGAAGAAGTTTGAGAAGCTTAACACTTCTTTCATGTGCTTATATCTGCACTTCATGTGTGCTGTATTAGTGAACGTAGCAGTGTAAAAGCTGTTATATTGGTTAAATACAATATATAATTTCTTTAAATCTAATATGCATTTCTTTAGAAACCTTTTTTCCTCCTTCCTTTATTTTACAGTATTATTAAACAATATTATAAAACTCTTGAATAATCAATGAGAAAACACAATAGAAATCATTGTCCGTGGAGGAGGTTGTATATCTGATACAAAATCGTCCTGATTTGCATAAACTTTAACTCCAATTTTCTTAGCCAAATTCAATTTTATCTTTAAAATTATAGTAGAACATGAATGTATACACCTAGACGTTTCATAAGTAATATACAATATTCGTATCTGTGTTGTATCAGATATACAATCACTTGCCTTCGGCTCCTCATACACGGCCACTCATATTGTATATATATATATTACTAAATACACAAATATTTTTAACACAAGCATACACCTGCCTTTCATTATAAATTGTCTGCAAGATTGATAGGTCTGACATGAATAAAGGCTCATCATAAAGATATAGGATGTAGACTGTAGACCATCCACGACAATGCCATTAATGAAAAAAATTAGATCAAATGGGTCTCATTCACGTGGCATCCATGTTTATTCTCATGAGAATGAAGACCACCTTTGTTTAGCCCACATAAATATATTCTCAAGCACTTGAATGGGAGGCTACATGTGGTGGAATCTATTCTTTCAGTCAACATGGCTGCCACGTGAGAAAAGCCCACCACTGGCCTAATTTTTTAACAGTATAGTCATTATAAAGATCATGATTGCTAGATCTAAAGAGTCATATTGCTTACCTTCCTTGAACGAAGTGGGCTGCTCAGACAAGATTTGACATTTTCCACTTTACTTTCAAAAACCACTTCAGGCACCTTCATGTACGTTGAGTCACCAAAATATGAAACTGGAACATTATCTATATCTTCTTCTTCCTCCTCCTCCTCTCTGCTTATTTCATTAATGGTATAAACGCTACTAGATCCAATAACTGGATTGATGTCATAGCTCCCAGACATGCAAGAACCACTGCTATCAGAATCATCTGAATCTACCTCCTCATCTGGCATATCAATGACTGACACTTTGATATCATGTTCTGGTGACTCAGGGATATCAATAACTGATACTGGAGTGGAAGAGGGTGGACCAGGCATATCAATAGCAGACACTTCTACATCATCAGTACTACTGGGACCTGGGACATCTATAACAGTTACCATCATATCATCTGGCTTACGGACTGCTGGAGAACAGTTACTTTGTTGTTCGTACTTAGTTGAAGACATATTCACTTGTGAGTTTTGCCCAGCAGTTAGACTGTTGAGGTGGCCTATACCAGAAGCTTGGTTTGGGGAATTTAATTGTGGTTGTTTTTGCTTAGGCTTTGCTTYGTATGATCCTGCATTTGAATTTATTACTAATGTCATATTACCAGTGATTTTTTGTTTGACAACCTCTTGGTGGACTGGCCTTAAGATGCTAGCTCCACTAAATGGTTTGGTTTCCTCAACCTTTACATCTGTGACTGGCTCAAACTTTTTCTGCTTTTTTGACCAGGGAAAAATTCTGGAAGAACTGCTTTTTTGTGAATCTTTCTTTTCAGGTTTTGACTTATTTTCTTGATTAAGATGCTGTTCTTGAGAAGATTTACTTGTCACATTATTATCAGTTTTTGCTTTTGCCTTTTTGTTACCCTTAGAAACACTTGACCCAAAGAGAGAACTTAATTTATGCACTGATCCCTTAGGTGGCTTTTCATCCTTTTCTGGCTCATCATCACCAGGAGAAGTGCCATTCATGAGTATATTCTTTTGGGGTACAGGTTTCAATGGAGTACAAGATTCTTTGTTGCTTGAGGACACTTCAACATTCTGATCTTGTTTGGACTTCCTATCATATATGATGGCTTCATCCTTTTTTCCAGAATTAAGATGCTTGGCTTTGACTTTTTCTTGAACCTCAGATGATTTATTTAAATCATGACCTGAGTGTTGTGAAATGGTGGATTTTTTTGCTGGTTTTTCATTCAAGTCATAATCTTGGTGAGAAAGTAATAAGTCTGTATCCTTGGTATGATCCTCTTGATTAAACCATGATGCTTTTCGAATCTTTGGGGCATCTTCATCCATTTGCTTTCCATTTGACCCAACAATGTTAGTACTCTTACTCTGGCCATCTTGAAAATTATTTTTTATACTCTCATCCAAACAAATATTTGTATTCTCATYGACCTCTTCATAATCATCATTTTGTCCATCTGAAACTAACACATTATGCCTTAGTACCTGTAGACGATGCTCAATACCAGATGAAACACTTGCTCTGTGTTTTAGATTTAAAACAGGTTCCAAGTCTTGAAAATGATGATCAGTTATTTTAACATCCCCCATGGATTTGGATCTCACACGTTTCATATAATTATCATAACGTCCTGAATCAAAGATATCTTCATCATCACTAGTACTCCTTGTAGGAGACAAGAGACCACCAACATCTGCTGACCATCGCTTATTTAGTGGTGGGGGTTTTTCTCTAGATCTTGGAGACATTTCATGATGCTTCGAAATTAAAAGATTGTCAGATGATGAGCTTTTATGTAGACGAAAGTTTCCAGAAGGCCCAAACTTGGTTCTTATTGCTTCAACATGAACTTCAGCTGGTATTTCATCGTCTTTTACACTTTCTGGTTTATCATCATCTTTTGAACAAACATTAATTTGAGAGTCATTATCCCTGGGAATTATTATAACATTGTCCTTCTCTTTTGCCTTTTCATTYTTAGCAGGTGTCTGGGACTTGGGCAACTCCACTTCCTTCTCCTTCAAGGACATGGACTCCCTTGAAGAGTTTTGTGGATGAGTGTTGGCAGTGGACTTTTGGCTCTGTTCATAATCCCTTGTGCAAGTGCTTCGATGGGGCTTTGTCGAGACATCTTTGTGAGCTTGGGTTTGTTGGTTTTGGGTCTTATTGGATTCCGTAAAGGTTATGCTGGCAGAATCACGACTCACTATTCCAAAAAGTTTTCTTAGTTCTGAAGGTGTTTTTATGTGTTCATATGAAACTTTACTGCTATTTTCGCTATCTTCTGGAACAATTCCCTGGTTATTGTAGTTTTCTTGGCCATTCCTTGACAGTTTATGGTCAAATTGTTTGTACTCCTTTTGTTGATCTGATTGTGGCGAACTGCTGGCGACAAAGGAATGCTGCCTCCCTCCTTGGGTTCCATTCTGCGAGTTCTCTTTTGGAATTACTATTACTTTTGGTGGATTTTTGCTCAAATTGGATTCATGTTCTCGTTCCGTTGAATTGGTAGTAAAAGAGCTCCTTTTCTGGCTAAGTTTATCGTAGCCGCTAGCAGTAGTGTTATTGCCAATATTATTAGACTGCTTGTCAAGCCCATGATTCGTATCTGCGCCATGTAAGCCTTTCTTTCTAGCTAACAAATTTTTCTTCCATTCGGGTAAAGAAGCTGATCGATCGTTTTGTACCTGAGTTTTTACCTTTTCTTCTTGTTCTTTCTTTCTTTTTTTTTCGATCAGCTCTTGTTTCCAAGCCGGCATTACCGATAGCGATGTCATTTTGGCTGAAGTCCTAGTAGAACAGCGATTTCAAATGATCTTACTAGAAGGTATGAAATAAACTGTTATTACACGAAGATGTAGTTTGTTCTACGGCGTTGTAAATCGTGGATAAAATATAATTTTACTCGACGAATTTAAGATTTCTCGCAAGTTTTTTCAGATCCATGACTACAACTACGAAACCTTCGGCGTCGAGAGTAAGGGTTTACATCATCGGCCCAAATACAGCAAATACCGACGATTTGTTAACGAACACTTACCGAAGCACTCCCGAGACCACTTCATTATACCCGGAAAACGTACGGCGACACTACTCYAACCAATCAGAAGCAATGATTCTCAAGGGTGTCTTTGTTTACCTTCCCCCTTGAACCTTTTCAGATATCGTTATGATACTTATGGGGCGAGTGACAGTCTAGAATGGCAACACTTCACTGAACCTTCGAATTACCATAGCAAAAGTCTTTCGCTCAGAAAATTCTATAGTAGTGATGAATTTTTTATTTACAATTTAGAAAAGAAGCATTGTCATTTGTCAGTAGCTGAAATATGACTCTGGTTGAAAGATAAATCCAAATATTCTATTTTATGGCCGAAGAAATCAACGGTGAATAAATGGTTAATTTATTCTAGGTTTTTCTCGAACTGATCAAAGCACAAATATAGATAAGAAGAATARTTATAAACATAAGTGGAATATTATAAATACTGGTGTAGCTAGCGAGAAGTTATTGACGTTCTGCTCTTGACGAAGTAAAGAAAATTCTGGAAAAATAGACTGACGTTTACAGGAAGCCTGGAAGCAAGAGAAAATGAACTTAATTTTAAATTGTTTAAAAGAGTCTGTTAGCAAATGAGACATCATTAGGTATAGGACGTTTGCATGATGGCGTCATTTGACTCCCACTACCAAGATGCTCCGCGAATTTTCGTTCTTATTGAAATTTGTATTTCCTCATGAGAATAGTACTAATTAACTGAACAAGAGAAAGTGTGCAAGGGAGTCTGGTAGTAGAGGTCAATGACGCCATCAAGCAAACGTCCTATTGGGTATAGTACTCTTATATCCCGGGGGACGGGGGAGACGGGTAAAAGTATCGGTTTTGTTCGTCGTGTCTCTTTGGGGTAAAAATCGGTAATTTGGTATCTTTTGTGTGTTTTAAAAATCGAAATTTATATTAGAATTTCGGAAGGGACGTTTTTTGGTGGGGGAAGACTGGAGTTTCAGAGGGGAGGGTCATAAGTAATGATTGAAGTTTTYGGAGACTCAAGGTTTTTTATTTTGACTGAATGCTGTTTCATTGCTGGTCCGTATATACGAAGAGTCATACGAAGAGTATGAGCTCTTTAGACTATCATGCTAAAGGTGATGATGATGATGGTATGCGTGTGCGTGTGTGTTGGGAGGGGGGGTTAGTTAATCTCTGCTTTTCTGGCTAACAGACAGACAGACAGACAGACAGACAGACAGACAGAAAACTTTATTTATAGACGGTAAAAACATCAGTTACATCCTAAATTCAAATAAGTTAAAATCAAAACTGGTTTACATGTTTGCCGTGTGGGAGTCTGATAATGAATAAAATTTGTCAAGTCCTATTTTAGAATGATTGAGAGACTTTGACTTTCTCAAGTCAACTGACAATCCATTCCATAACACAGAGCCACTGTAGCTGAAGCTACGCTTACAGCAGTCAGTTCTAGCAAGGGCGGATCCAGGGGGGGCAAAGGGGGGCTGAAGCCCCCCTTCAGCAGAAAGAAACGATGCTTTTTTATATTGTTTTCCATGTGTTGACGGAAAAACTCAATTAGCCTCCCTAAACTCAATACACAATTAGCCCCCCCCCCCCCTCCAATTTTGGCTGGATCCGCCCTTGTCTAGGTTTAGGAATATTAACCTTGTTGTCGGATTCTCTAAATTGATAAGGAGTATTTTTCATGGTGAACAAATCTCGTAAGTAGCTGGGCGTGAGACCATTCAGAAACTTGTACATCATGACAGCTTTTTGTTTTCTCCTTCTAATATGTAATTTATCTAATTCGAGTCTTTTGAGCAATAATTCTGAACTAGTATCATAGCCCGAGCAAGTGATAGCTGTGACTGCACGATTTTGTAGTTTTTGCAAATTATCACTAAATTGCTGAGATAGTCCATCCCAAACAGAACTACAATAATCAAAGTGTGGCTCAATTAAAGCCTTGTATATTGTTATTGCAGTGTGTTGACTAATAAACGGTCTGACTCGCTTCAGTGCACCAATTCCCGAGAAAATCTTTTTTGAGATTTCACTAATATGGATTTTTCATGACAAGGTGTCGTCTATGTACACTCCAAGAKATTTAGTATTATCAACCTTTTTTATTTGTTTATTATCTACTTGTAAGGTGGTGGTACTATATCTCTTTGATTTTGTAGCTTTTGGGGCGTGAGCCAATATTTAAGCTTAATTTATATTAGCTCTAAGCCAGATATTGATATTTTGAAGTTTTGAAAATTTGAGTTTGAAGATTACTCATTGTTGAGGCTGCACAGCTAATATTCTATTCTATATCTTGCGTAAAACAATTTGGTACATCATTTATGTATATTAAAAAGAGCAGAGGATCAAGGATTGATCCTTGAGGAACTCCGCAAGTTATAGTTCGAGGACCAGACAGCTGATGATTTGTATAGCAATGCTGTGTTCTATGGTTCTATCACTAAGATACGATTTAAACCAACTTAATCCTCTTTCTTCAACTCCATAACATTCCAGCTTCCGAATGACACGAATTTCGTGATTGATAGTATCAAAAGCTTTCTTGAGATCAATAAATACCACGACATTTAGAAAGCTTTTGTCTATGTTGACACACCAACTATTAGCAGCCTCAAGTAGAGCTGTTAATGTGCTATGTAATGAACGAAAACCGGATTGACATTTTGTTAACAAGTTATTGTTATTAAGATATGCATACAATTGATCATATACAATTTTTTCAAATATCTTAGCAACTACGGGGATGACAGATATTGRGCGATAATTATTCATATCAGACTTGGAACCCTTTTTAAAAACAGGTGTTATTCTTGCTAATTTCCATTCAGTCGCAAAAATACTTACTGAAATTGATTTATTAAATATCTCTGTTTACGATAGTGCCACAATATCAGCAGCCATTTTGAGAAGTTTACAAGGAATTCTGTCAAGCCCTGTTGCTTTTTTGCCGTCAGTCCTACTTATTAACTGAAGGACAGTTTGAACGTCAATCTTTTTCAATAAGAATTTTGTTTCGGTTGGTTTTAAATAACTTAGCGCATCAACTGTAGTTTTAGATATTTCACGGGCTAAATCAATACCAATATTAGCGAAATGGGAGTTAAACGACTCGGCAATGTCTAATGCAGAGCTTAGTGTTCGATTTCCATCTTTTATTGGGGATATATTGGTTACTTTGCGTTGACGATTTTGCAGCTCATTAATGAGCCTCCATGTTTTTCTTGGATCCTTCGTATTGGCATCGAGATTGTCTGTGAAATATCCGCGTTTAGTTAGCTTAATAGAACGATTAACTTCGTTCCTAGCTTTTTTTAAATCTTCCCATGTTTTGTGATCGTTTGTTTTAGTGTGTTTTCTTTTTAAGAAGTCTCACTACTTGCGTATTTTAGTTATTAATTCTAGTAATCAAGGGGGACCTTTTCCTACTCATTAATTCCGAGTTTGGTCTTTAAAGGTGCGTGCTTATCACATCTCATTTGGATCATTTTGAGTAGAAACATCATCCCATTGTAATTGTTTCAGATCGTGAAGAAAGTTATCTTTGTCAAAAAATTTTAAGTACCTAACAACAGAAGTTTCATGGATTCCAGATCGCAGATGTTTTGATTTGCGAGTCATATAAATAAGAAAATAATCGCTTATGCCAATTTGTAAAACTCCCGACTTAGAGACTTTCTCCGGGGAGTTAGTTAAACATAAGTCTCAATGAGGGCTCTAGTATTTTTTGTTACTCTCGTAGGCTCATTTATCATCTGGCTTAATCCATAAATATCCATGATATTAAGGAGTTGGGAAGAATTGTGATCCGAGTTGTTTGATAATAGATTACAATKTAGGTCTCCTAAAAGGTATAATTCTTTATTTTCCGYATCAACTTTTTCGATGAGTGTCTTCAAAATGCCCAAATAAATCCGGCGGAGAGTGAGGTGGTCTGTATCAGGTACTAATTAAGAAGGGCTTAGATCGAGGTTTGATTATTTCTCTTTCGAGATACTGTGAACTCAAATCCTCTCTACTCGAAAAATTASGTTTGATTTAAGTAGATACAGACACCTTCTCCATTTCTTCCATTAATACTCCTGTYTCTCCTAACTACATCAAATCCAGGTAAATGGATGTCGTCGTCGCAGATGGTTTGGTCTAATTTAGTTTCATTAATCTCTAATACATCGATTTTCTCATGAGTACTCAAAAATATCTTAAGCTGATCAATATGGCCTAGTAGACTATTAATATTTAGGCATGCTATGATTTTACCGCGACCAAATAATGATGCTTCATTTGACTTACCACTATTCCTGTTTGACGTGGGAGGATTATGGATTATGGAATGGACGGATTCAACACGGACTCCAAAGCGGCAATAGCCTAATTCTTATTTATGAATGACTCAAAATTATTAGTAAGAATTGTAGTGCCGACTTTAGATAGGTGTAGTCCACCACGATTTAGATGTTCCAGTGTTATGTTGTTATTCTTAATGTAGTTCCAACTGTTCTTACGGCACATCTGCTTTAGGGTTTTATTGATGGAAGCAATGTGGCCTTGGTGATCATCTTTTCTCACGAGTGAACTGGACAGAGATATATTTGTGAAATAAGAAAGAAAGAAAGAAAGAAAGAAAGAAA